CTACAAGAGTGTCCCACAAGAGTTTCCTACAAGAGTGTCCCACAAGAGTGTCCCACAAGAGTGTCCTACAAGAGTATCCCACAAGAGTTTCTACAAGAGTGTCCTGCAAGAGTGTCCCACAAGAGTGCCACAAGAGTGTCCCGCAAGGGTGTCCTACAAGAGTGTCCCACAAGAGTGTCCCGTATGAGTGCCTCACAAGAGTGTCCCACAAGAGTGTCCTATAAGAGTGTCCCGCAACAGTGGCCTGCAAGAGTGTCCCGCAAGAGTTTCCTACAAGAGTGTCCCACAAGCGTGTCGTACAAGAGTGGCGCGCCAGAGTGTCCTACAAGAGTGTCCCAAAACAGTGCCCCGCAAGAGCGTCCTACAAGAGTGACCCACAAGTGTGTCCTACAAGTGTCCCACAAGAGTGTCCCACAAGAGTGTCCTGTAAGAGTGTTCCACAAGAATGTCCTACAAGAGTGACCCACAAGAGTTTCCTACAAGAGTGTCCCACAAGAGTGTCCCACAAGAGTGTCCCAGAAGAGTGTCCCACAAGAGTGTCCTACAAGAGTGTCATTTGGACTTATGTAGCTTTTTGAACATGTTTGCATTCGGGTTCGTGGGCGCCATTTTTTTGTGGTTGTTTTTCGTATCTGTGGATGTCTTACTGGTACTTACCAATAGACGTGTCTTTGCAGGTGCATCAAATTTCACATGTTTTTCCAAGGAAGATGCTTGCGTCAAGCATTTTGCTAAAGTGAAACGGTCATTTTTGTTCGGAGTGCGAGAAAAGAGTTCGGAAAAGTGTTCTTTCTTCGACCTGCGAGCACCGGTCCCATCCTTCGACTCGTGGTTGATGCACACACTGTGCTTCCATTGCCTCCAGTCAAAACTCAAGGTCCCTCGGCATTTCCTCGGTTCAACACTTTCTGTCGCAGGTTCGCAGGTCGTCGCATCTCGGTCGTGCGACGAGGCGACGGTCGCGACGCGGTGTTGACCGGGCTTCGAGACCGGTGTCACATAACCGACGACTCACCACCCAACCAACCAACCACCCAACCACCCAACCACCCAACCACCCAACCAACCAACCAACCAATGTTAAGACAAACCAACCAACCGAAACAACAAAACTAAAACACCAACGGCTACTACTTGTCGGGCCTTCATGTAAATCACTTCGGAAAACACACCGTCTCAGGCTCTCAGGTACATGCGTGCGAAACGAAAGTACATCGGAACAAGCACTGCATATGTGTGCGAATGTGTGTGCGAATGTGTGAGCGAATGTGTGTGCGAATGCATCGAAACGTAATTGACAGAAGTACGTCGCAATACACGAAGGAAGACACAGTGAGGGTACGTACAAGTGCATCCTTACATCACTACAAGCACGTCATTACCCCCACCCCGCACTCCACCCCACCCACCCGACAAGCGAACAACAAAGTACGTGACAGGCGTATCAGCCGCGGACCAAAAACAACAGCACGTACAAAGCCAGCAGAAAGAACCAGCAACGCAGCTGCGAAGTTGCCCTCCCTTTGAAGTGACCCACAGGTATGACTGGACAAAAGTTGTGAATGCATAGGAAAATGATCTACAGCCTCCTTGCCCTTAGAAGGCCGCAGTGGTTCAAAGTGGACTTCCAACAGAAGAGTTTTCACCCCGAACCAAGTTTAGAGTACAACACTAGTAATAGTTTCTTTCAAGTCAAAATTTCCTCTGCGGAATTCTAGCGTCAGATTTGCAAGGTTTTTGTGCTGGGGAATACACGCGCAAAGCGTTTACAACATTTGTCCTCCTTGCACTATGCAAAGTGAAGGACGCACAAGACATGAACACTCTGGTGGGCTGAGATAGGTCATTTATGCGCTCTTCTTTTTCTGTTGCCGTTGCGAGGTAGGCGATAGCATTTGGCAAGCTGCTGATGCGAGAGCGCGCGGCTTTCTCATCGGCGCTACCTATGGCCGCACCACACTGAATGGAGAAGGGTTACAGCATCAGGCCATCTATGCATGTCAATTGCATAGTTCTTTAGTTGATTCATGTATTGCCGACCAACACAAATGAAGTGCAGGGAATCTGTAGTGATGTTTGCCAGGATGGGCATTCTTTGCTCATTGCTCTGACCTGTCCAGCCCAGGGCTCAGCAGCTGACTTGCGGCATTTTGACCTTGCTTGTGTCCGCTGTGTTCATCCGCTGCAGTTTGCTGCAATATAGGTGCTTCCTAAACAAATCCATCATGAATTGAATAGTTTGATCGTGCAACAGTGCAGCTCAGTCCGATATGGAGCCAGACTAAATAAAGTCCTACCCTACGCAAGTACCTGAGTGCCAAGCACATGGAAGTTCAGAAATCTATAATTCTGGAATTTGAATGCTCGCGATGCTCTAATGGCTGGATCCGAGCGTATCGACCGCTGAACGCCGTCAACAGGGCCATGCCAGTTTCGAGGCCCCGCTGTCTCGGGGGTCACGGTCTTTTGGGCTCAATTGACTCTGCCTTGTCTAAATCCAGTTTGCATCAGAGAGGTGCAGGTTATGCGGAGATGAACAAGTCAGGGACAAGCATGAGCTGAAAGCCAAGTGCTTGAGATTGTAGTGGTCATCAATCTGGTCTCCCAGGTCTCCCAGGTCTCCCTGTTTCGGATACGTGCCATGGTCGAACTCAAAGGGGATGTATTCATGTAGCTCCTGAAGAATTGAGTTACAGCTCCGTCGTTCCACATTACCTTGCATGTTTGGAGCAATTTGAGGGTGTAGTGTGGCCTTGATTTGCCCTGAGGCATTTGCAAGAGTTGATTGCAGACGCAGCCCGCACCGTTGGCCGCTCATATGATGATGTCCGGCCCTACGTGAACCTCCTGGAGGAAAACTGGTTCGATACAGTTGACAGCTTGAGGAGAGGGTTGGGCACATTGCTATAGTAACTATAGTAGGTTTGGTTCTTTGGTATCTCCTTGCCTTTTTGGCTCCCCTGCTCCAGGACCATTGCAGCTCCAGATCTTCAACAATTAGGGCTACCTTTGCGGTTTGCACGCGAGCTTCTGTCACTGGCAGGGGCGAAAGGTGGAGCTGGTGGTGCGCCACCCCCACCACCTCCAGCTCTTGCAAAACCAGCTGCTGCAGCTGCAGGTGGGAGCCGATCGTAAATGCAAATCTAAGAATTATGAAAGGGCATGTGTATCTCAGCATCTGCGATTGTAAAGCCCTGCATCGCGGTTGATCGGCGATTGGTGGTTCGCGATTGAGACAAACATTTGTTGTATAAGAATCGATCATTGTAAGAGGAGAAATCAGTATTATATGGGATGATAATCATGTTACAGTTCAGCCTTACACTGTATTCGGGTTTGCCTAGACACTGTGTTCAATAGTGATAGCCAATATAGCAAAGAAGAATCAGAACAACAAAGTTCAAAGTCCACCAGCCCAGATCAATTCAATTCTCAAAAAAATGTCGACGAAATCCGCGATTGGTTCGCGATTGTGCCGCGATTGTTAAACTCGCCTGTGTAGGCCCTGGCTCACGCCATGTCTCTAAATACTGTGATATGTAGCAATGTTTGGACGATTCTTTGCGTAAAATAGTGTTGCATACGAGAGCACTCTCCCGCGATTGACACCGTTGGGGTCGCGATTGATTCGCGGTTGATCGGCGATTGTAGCTGCCTCAGATACCTTTATTTTGATCAACACCCAGGTGTACCAGCAGCCCCGCCACCTGCACCGGCGGTTCCAGCAGCTGTTCGAGTAGCTCCACCTGTTCGAGCACCTCCACCTGTTCGAGCAGCTCCAGCTGCTGTTCAAGCAGCTCCAGCTGCTGTTCAAGCAGCTCCAGCTGCTGTTCAAGCAGCTCCAGCTGCTGTTCGAGCAGCTCCAGCTGTTCCAACTCCGCCAGCTCCTACTCCAAAAGCAGCCCCAGTAGTGGTTCCACCAATTCTCGTCCCTCAACCCTTAGAGCGGCATCGACTGCCTCAACATCCTCAACAAGCCAAAGGGTCCAGAGGCAAAAGTGACGGGAAAGAGGATTGGAAAGACAGGAGAGACGAGTGGAACTGGGAGAAAGGCCAAGGCCTGACCAAGGGCAAATCAAAAAGGGACAGAGGGGGAAAAGGCAAAAGCCAGGGCAAACCTTTGGACACAGCTTCCTCACAAGTACAGGGGCTGGGGCTGCATACACACAAAATCTTTTTGGACATCGACAGTCCGGATCCTTCCTTCGGGCTCAATGGACGTTTAATTGGCGAAAATGGACAGAATGTGAAGCACATCCAGGACATCACCGGAGTCACCGTGCACCTTGGTGGACAAGGTAGCGGTGATCGAGCCTCCGAACACGAACAACTGCATGTTCTCTTGCGCAGTGGAGATGCACCGAGTTTGGAAGAGGCCATACGTATCACCAACGATCTCCTCGACACGGTTCTGGAGCAGTACACTGCGTGGCAAGGTGGGCGTGCACAAGGCCAAGAGAGCCAGAAGCCGCAGAAGGGCCCAGGCAAATCTGGAGATGGCCATAAGGGGTTTGGCAAATTGAAAGGAAATGCGAGGCGGGGGCACTTTGCTGCTCGCAGCTGGAATCAGAAAGGAGGCTATGCCCACTATCCGGATGAGCCAGCAAACAAAAGATCCAGGGCACATTGAAGTTGTCGAGTTGCCGAGCATTCTCTTGAGAATGTGCACATATTGCAACATGTCCAGCACCAGATCTGGCTGCCGATGGCGCCTTTTTCTTCTGGGCACCCGACGATGTCAGACCACTGGTCACAGGTGCCCAGCTGTCAACAAAGCACATAGCGTTGAGGAAAAAAGCGGAACCCTTACTTCTTCCGTTTTTTTTGTTTAAATCTCTTGTTGCCGCTTTGCCTTGCTGTGAGAAACGGAACACTTCCCAGGCAGTGAAGGGCTACGATCCTGCATTCGGCTATGAGATGGCTGCCATTATCGAGAATGGAGTGAAAGAGATGTGGGGGGAGGACGGTGTCGCACAGAACCCTTCCTGCAAATGACCGGAGTTCATTGTTCTGAGGACAAAGATGTCATCTATTATGTCACGGCATATAATGAGAACATGCCCATGCCCGAGAAGCCCGAGGCTGGGCCAAACAGGGTTGTGACGCACGACGTGTCGGTTGTGCTGAGTGCTCGATTCGGCGCCAGGGAGTGGATGAAGGCATCGTCAAGGGCTTGTACAAGTTTTCAGATGCCAAGCCCGCCCAACACAAGGCGACCACGCGCGTGTGGTGTGGCGTCGCGTGGCATCGCAAGACATGGCAGACTTGGTGGCTTTTGAGAGGTCCGGCTGATTGGGTCCGGGGCAATCATGAAGCAGGCAGGAAGGATCAGGAAGGTCCTTTTGCAGTCCACCTGTGGAAAACTGAACTCCTCAGTTTGGATTGATGATTTCAGATGATTTCAGATTTCTGTGTGAATCTTGCAGGCCTTGGATGCTGTAGAACTCCTTGCTGAGTATGGTCCTCCTCCTAAAACACACAATGAGAAGCTTGAGAGTGGAACATTTGTTGCAGCTGGATTGAGGTGTTGGTGCAGAAATCTGGAGTGCCACCAGCGTCCTGATTGAACTCAATGCCTCTAAGAAGTGGTACCCATCCTGACAAAACAAACTATTTGTGGGATGAACGTGATCAGGCTATAGTGAGCTTCAGCGCGATGCTGTTGCAAGCGAGCGGGCAGATCGTCTTGGTGCTCAGGCATAGCAAGCATGCACAAAAAGAACCTTTTCAATGCTTTTCAGTTCGTTCTGAAAAAATTGCAGGGGCAGTCCTGGGTCGAGCAATGCCTCAGCGAAGACTTGGTCACCGTTGCGGTGTCAGACAACATGACGGTGCGCTGTGTGAGAGAAGAAGCCACCGTGCATATATTCCCATTGTGGTGACTGTCTCAACCCGCCGGCGCAGGCATACCCGATGCTGATAGCTCCATATGTCACTGGCAAGTACATTGTCAGAGCCTCAAACTGCACAAAGCCCGTGCACAATCATCTTTTCGAAGCAGAGCTGAAGCTTAAAGCAAGCTGTTTGGGTGGCAGCATGCTACTAGTAACAAGGGCATTTCTACTAGCAAGCTAGAAGCTACTAGTAGCAAGGTGCCTTACTAGTAGCTAGACGCATTTTTTCCGCATGCGCTTCGCCTTGAGGTCCTTGGAGCGGACGGTTTTGGCCGCTCTGACACACGTGAAGCACTGCGGCGTTTCTTTGAGATCGACAAAGAGCATGTGCCCTGTCGAAAGGTCTAAGGAACTTGAAGCAAACGGACATGCAAGAACAAGAACAAGAAAGACGCTGACATTCAAACGTCAGATTGTGATCAGATAGTGTATTCAAACGACACCAGCCCTTCGGTTGTTGCATCAATCCATTCGCCTCCCATGCAAGTGATTTTTGTTTCAGGTTGCAGTCGCGGCCCTCTATGGACTTGCAAAGCAAGGAAAAATCTCCATGGACGTGGCCGATCAAGCGCAACTTGGCAATGGAGTTTGGAGGCAATGAGATGAGATGTCATTTTCGATGCGACCATTTGCACAGCCTCACCAGTCACTTCTGAGGCGTGAGAAGTTCGGCATCTCCGCAGAGAAGAAGGATGGAGCCAACCATCAGAAGTGCTCAGTGTCGTTCAAAGCGCTGCTTCTTCAACTGCTTTTCGCAAGTGACTCAGCGCTGAAAGACGGTGCTTGGAAAGGACATTTGCATGGAGGTGATCAGCTGAGCACCAGAGAGGCGCCTGCCCAATTTTGGAGAGAGCATTCATGTTCATGCTCAGCTTGATGTTTGTTGGAAGAGTTATTTTGCATTTTTCCTGAAATTCCCTGTGTGTTGTGGGTGAGGACATGGTCACATGGTAGTGTCCTTTTTTGTTTACTACGTTTGATGAAACATGTTCGACCCCAAAAAGACAGGTCTCTCACCGAAGCGGCCGCCAAACCAACCCAGTCCTGGCAGCTCAACCAACGACAAGTCTAAATGCTAAGCGTTCTATTGTGCTCAACACGCTAAGCTTCACCATGCAAATCCTTGAGCCGCATTCATCTAAGCCCGCTTGGCAAATGACGCAAATTCCTGCTGGACTTGTGACAAGTCCTTATCACGTTTTTGTTCTTGTTCACCTTCAGGCAACAAGCGTGACTCTGGACAGCGACATGGAACAAGTTTTCAAAAGGTGCATCTGCATGGGCAGTTGTGTGGCTTAGATATGCATCAAGTGGTGCTGGTGGCAGTCTTGCATTGAGTCTTGCCCAAAGAACATATATAGAAATAGTGATCTTGCTGTCACACGCCTTCAATGTAAACATGCTTGTGCATTTTGTTGCCACCGAATCCCCAATTCGAATGTACTCTACATTCTCCTGCGTGCAGCCAGCTTTGTTGGCCGTGCGTCATCGCTTGTTTTCCCTCGAGAGTGTGGGACCACATTGGTTGTACCCTAATTGCACGGATCCTGCGAACCCAACAGGGCCTCTGGGATCTTGCAGCAAATGCAGCTGGGAATCGTTTGTTTGCCGTTCCGGTCAAAATGCAGCATTGCGATGTCATCAGTATGTGAGGATCCAGCTTGCACAGTTGCGGACAAGTAGACAACATCGAATAGTCTCATGCTGTCTCTAGTGAAAAGCCGCGCATTGATTGAGCCTGCGAGAGCTGATTCACACACCTTGTGTCTCTCATTTGCGGCTCTTGGTTCAGATGGGCCTCTGCTGCCCCAAAGGGGCCATAGCAGGTGGTTAGCGTGTTGTTTTTCAAAGTGGAGTGTGGCAGACCTAGTCAAGCTATGAGATGCAGTGTAGTAGGACTTGTTCGCATTTGGCATGTTCTGACGAGCCAAAACCATCAAAAGCCCTTGAACTCGTACCTCTATATACATCAATTATCAACTCTTTTAGATGCCGGGCATTGCTTTGCCTGCCAGCCTGGCCTGACCTGCAATGGGCTGAGATCGCACGTGGAGTGGTTTGTTCTCGGAAGAATGAGAATGCTCAAAGTGGTTGGGGATAGTTTGGAATGCAACTTACATTTTGGGCGCAGGGGTTGGAACGCCGGGGTTTGGAACCATTTGGAACTCCTTTGGTCTCGCACTGCACATTTGGTCTGGAGTGATGGACGCGAAAGAGACCTAAGTTCGTGGCGCAAATTGCAACCCTCTCGCACAAAATTCGCTTGGGCCCTTCATACTGCCCTTTGTTACGCTCGTAGCGTCCTCTTGTTACTAGAAGGCCAGTGATTGTGCAGCGCTTGTGGTCACGGGGGTGTTCTTCCTAAGTGGCTGGAGCTTTGCTGATGGAAATGTCGGCCATGCCATCAGGACGCGGTTACCCTGAGGTACTCGCTGGGCGGTTGGAGGGGTTCATGGCGTGTCGAGATGTTACTAGTAGTACGCCAGGCCATTCCAGTTGAGAGTAAATACATGTGATTTGGGATTCGAGACGAGAGGTTTTCTCAAGAGTTTTTGTAGGATACTATGAGATGATGATAGGGGAAGTCCTCCTTCCCTTTGCTGTAGAAGGGCGCAGGCACCAACAGCAATACAAGGACCAACTCTTTCATGTGCCTCATGGGATTGGCAACTGAACATTGAACACCCAGCGATGACTTGGTGCAACTGCTTGGATTCCTTTGTGCAGTTGAACAAGCGCAACACAGCAAACCGCTACGCATGATGAGATGTTGTGGCCCAAGGCCTTCCAAGGGGGCAAGCGGTCGTGCCTCAAGTCTGTGCCACAGCTGCTGGCAGAAAGACAGTGAGATGGCAGTCTTTGGCTGAAATTGCTTTCCAGGGGCCACAGCCTAGGAAGCCTGGATGGATGAAGGCCTGATCCGGGTGAGAACGAGAATGTCACATGAGCCCTGCACAGGTTGGAACCATGATCAGATCAATCAGTCCATTCTTTTACATATATATATATGGTGACATACCACGTATATCGCGTGGTGTTTTTGTTTTTACAAATTATGTAAGTTTTGTATACGTTGTCGCCGTCTTTGCCAAAGTTTGGGTTTCTTGAGCGGTTCCTCACAGCATGACACACAACAGCCACAAAAACGGTCAAACACTGAGACACATTATATATATATATTATATATATAGTTATATCTATATGCACACACACCGACGCATACATGCAAGTACTGGTGAGTCTAATTACTAATGTCACAAAGGTCTTTCCTCACGGAGGACTTTTGAGAACATTTCAATTCAAAATCGGTCCCAAGTGATCGAAGAGCAAACATGACTCAAATCCAGGGGGTTGCTTGCTATTTTCATGAGCTTTGGCTCTCACCTCGCATCTTTGTATAGTCCGACAAAGGTAGAATCCTTAGCAGACTTGGACAGGCATCGCCTTGTCAACGGTTGCCGGCAAGCTGGCCAGATTCTTGGATTCACACCAGCAACACGAAGTACAGCACTGGATGACACTTCCAAAACAGACCGAGCGGCTGCTTCCAGTGCGGCTGCTCAGGTGTTTACGACTGACCCTGGGTCTCTCAAGCGTGAAAAGGCCTGTGCGATTGTGTGTGTGTGGGGTTGGTGCTTCGATATCTGTGTTCCTTCTAGGAGCTTCTCCTTGCCAACCAGAAGTTGACTGCCGACCTCGAAAGATTGCAAGAACGTTGGAGCCGCAAGTATTGACGACGCGTGTCCAACAAGTGTTTCGTTCGACGACCGGGTACGCTCTATATCGCAACTGAGGCCTGTCATTTGTTGAGGACAGCAAGCACAGCTCTCCAGTGTCCTGGGACGTTTTCCCTCAAAGAAAAAAACTAGTAAGGCCAGGAGCTACTAGTAGCGTCCTTGCTCCTAGTAGCGATGCCAGGAGCTACTAGTAGCGATGCGCTATGTCTAGACGCAAGAAGGAGCCTAGTACTACTATGTACTACTGCAGTACTTAGCAGATACTACTTCCATGAGCTTCCATGCCCTACTTGAAGCTGTGTGGTGTCCTCTTTGAAGCGGCTACAACGCACACCGTTCGGAGGAGTTGATTGGACCCACGGAAACTCAGCGGAAGGCGGGAAAACGATGCAGCTCTGTGGAGAGTTGGCCGCAGTGGCATTTCTTGAGAATTGAGCCCAAGGCCGAAGGTTTGAGAATTATATATATATATTATATTATATTGTATGTAAATACGCCCCCGTGTTTAAAGACGTAGGGGAGTCAAGGGAAAGTTTTCCTCCGCAGCACTGGCTCAGCGTATGTGGAGCCATCCTGGTGGCTGCACGTGCACGCTCTGTACTTCGCTAGAGCGGTTGCACCGTGTGGTCAGCTTGGCCCGGATCACTCCCGAGTTCGTGACCTACGCGACAGTCCGGGTCAGGAACGTGATCGGAGAGCTCAGTGACTACCTGGAGGCGCATCCGGGGGAACGGGAGGACCTGGCACGTCCTCCTCCCCAAGCTGGTGTCCGCGAAGCAGGTCGAGAAGAACAAGGAGCGGGCCAAGCAGGAGGAGAGCAGGTGAAGAAGAAGCAGGCAGAAGAGAAGGAAGAGCGCGCAGGTGAAAAGGCAAGCGGATCGGAGAAACCCATTCCAGGCAGTGGAGGAGATCATCATCCCGGAGGAATTGCAGTCAAAAGAGAAGAGGACGAGGAGGACTCGGCCGACAAACCCGACAAGGGATCAACTGCAGAGGACAAGGCTAGGGACCAAGAGGTCAACGAGGCATCACATCGACCAGAGGAGGCTGAAGTGACCACCGAACCTGAGGCAAGCGGCGAGGGAGACGACAAGGCCAAGGAGAGTATCGGTGTAAGGGAGGTAGTGCCAGAATCTCCTCACCGGAAAAGAAGAAGAAGGAGGAGGAGTGAAGCGAGTCGGACAAGGTCTCCAAAGGTCAGAAGAAGAGGTGAAAGTTCCCATCGACGCCGGCGAAGGGCGCGCAGCAAGTCTGAGAAGGCAGTGCCAAAGCCTTCTCACGCCCCAGAAGGGAGGGAGGAACATCGGGAGGTCAGGCGACCAAGATCTCCCTCGCAACCCCCTCCTGGGTTCACTGGTCAGACCATCTTGGTACCTGCTCGACCAGTTTATCGAGGTCCTCCTGACAGCCCAGAGTATCGACCCTACGAAGATGCAAAGAACAAGGGGAAGAAGAAGGTTGAGACGCAGCGGTACTTCCGGGACTACGTTGCGGAGAGGCGGGCTGAGAAGCAACAGGCCCGTAAAGACAGAGACTGGTATCGCAAGTGAGAAAGTGAATGCCTCCTAGACCGCGACGACGGCCAGCGGCTGAAGGGAGGTATCGAGGTGACCGTGATCGAGGAGAAGTTGACCGAGAAGCTGGACGGGAAGGAGCTTTGAGAAGGCGGCCGGCTGCAGCAGAGGAGCGAGTGACGGGGTTTGAGGCTGGAGAAGAAGTTCCTGCACATCAAATCCCAGTGGGAGTATGGAAGCCAGGGCTCCGACTCCTGGGAATGGGCGTGTACTACAACCGCGAGATCAACGTCGCAGTGGAGATCGATGCCATGAGATTTCAAGGAGGAGCGCTCGAAGTTATGACCTGGGTGACCGGCGCCGAGGACGAGGGCCTCAGGTGGGCGACCAGCAACGCAGGGACGCCTTTGAGATGTCACATATGCCTGGAGGGCTGTGGCAACGTCCCGGAGGGGGACGACACCCTCCACCTCAAGAAAGTGAAGTATCGTGGTGTGGACAGCCCAGGTTGGGTCGACAACCTCAAGGAGCCGACGGGCATGGAGGAGCTGCGGCGCTTGGCGGCGAAGTCAGATGCCCTGGCCCGAGGAATGGAAGAGGTGAAAGAACCTGCGAAAGAGGCGAAGGAGGCTCCCATCCCAGCAGGACAAGACGCGAAGAGCACCAGCGGATCCAGTGGGGGACGCAAGAAGAAGAAGAAATCCTTCAAGCCAATGGGGAAGAAGGAGCACTCAGCTTTATACAAAGGGACGGGCCTCGACCAGGACGCCCGCATCAGGAAGAAGGTCTCACGTTTGGCGAGACGTGCCATGAAGAAGAAGTCAAAAAGCTCAAGCTCGTCGGGGACAAGTTCAACGTCCGAGGCTGCAGAAGGCCTGGAAGATCTGTTCCAAGAAAGCCAGAGAACACAGTTGGCGTCCAGAGCAGGGCCAGGAGCGTTGGCCTATCACGCCATCCGTCAAATGAGGAAGCAAATGCTGCAAGAGCAAGGCCAGGAGAACTTGGCAGCGAGCCCTGTGGGAGCAGTGGGTTTGCAATTTTACAGGCAGATCCTGCGGCGCAAGATGACTCCGGTGATGGCCCGCGAGGCCTTGAACATATCGGCGGCATTGGACGCAATGCTGAACTGCCAGCCGGCACACGCAGCAGACGTCCTGGTCCAGAGACTCAAGGCGCTGGAATGCATGGCGAGCGGCTCATCGTGGCAGATGTCGCAGCGCTTCGAGATTGTGCCCCTGGACCTGGGAAGCTTGGCATCACAGGCGGAGGCAACGGCCGTGGCGAGAGAGAGCAGGGAGGAGCAGAAGAGCCGCCAGCTCCAAAAGGGAGGTTGGGAGGCCGCCTCCTGGAAAGGCGGCAAGGGCGATCAGAAGGGCGACAAAGGAAAAGGGAAGGCCAAAGGCAAAGATGGGAAGTTCAAAGGAGGAGACAAAGATCGCGCTCGCGGAGACAAAGCCGACAAGTGACCGGCCTTGCAGAGGATGAGATCTCAGAAGAGTTGAGAAGAGTGAGAAAAGGAATGGAAGAAGAAAAGCCTGCTATGACCTGCGAAGAGAAGACAGCGACTCAGGACAACAACTATGAGCCTGAGGACAAGCCCACATCGTCGAGGATGTGGCCCAGTACAGAAGGGGTTTTCGAGAGTGCCAGCTCGGAAGCTCCGAACTTCAAACCGTCCGAGAAGGATGCGGAAAAAAGTGCGGCGCTGGATAGTGGGACGTTCGACTCGTTCGTTGAGGGGTGGGTTCATGACTTGTCTCTTTTCAAGCTTTGCAAGGTCAAGACCAAGGGGAGCCTTTTGCCCTTCCCCGTGGACTCGATCATGGAACACCCTTCTTTTTCGGGCGAAGATCGACGTGTGTTGGACGTGTTGAGAGGTGTTTGTTGTGGACTCAATTCACTATATGGCAGTGATCCAGAGGAGACGCTTAAAGTGTCAGCCGCTCATATCAAATGTTGCATGTTTTTGATGGAAGAGGCGAAAAACTTTCTGAGAAGATGTCCTGCCCTCCCTGCCCTGAGTTGGGAGGAGTATCTTTTGGTGCGAACTGTTGACTACAAAGGTGATGAGGTGAAGGTGGCTCAAGTGACTGCGTGGAAGAACGTGCGACCAGCGCTACCTGAGGAAGTAGGTACTGTGCCCTTGGCCAGCGTAGTGACGAAGGGTTCCTTGCACTACACCTTGAACTTCGGCACTTATCTCCTACCTGAAAAAGAGCAGGTTTACACCAAACCTCCACGAATCATGGTAGCTGAAGATGCCTGGGAAGACCTGTGCCACGGGCTCATCACCTCTGGCGTGTGTGGGCTCATCCGGGAGGCCGACATCCATTTGGCGCAGGGTAAGCGGTTGTTCAATGGACTGTTTGGAGTGCCTAAAGACGACGTTGTTGATGGCGTGCCCGTCCACCGGCTGATCATGAATCTGGTACCTCTTAACCGGATATGTCGATCAATCAATGGAGATGTCAGCACGCTACCGGCCTGGCCGTCAATGAACCCCTTTGAACTGAAGGACGGTGAAACTTTGGTGATGAGCTCCGAAGATGTTCGCTGTTTCTTTTATATTTTCACTGTTCCAAAGGAGTGGCACTCCTACCTGGCCTTTGGTCGGCAGGTTCCTAGAAAGATGTGGCCCGACGACGCAGGGCCATACTACCTCTGTAGTCAAGTGCTACCCATGGGTTTTTGCAACTCTGTCTCATTAGCCCAGCACATCCACCGTTTCATTGTTGCGGAGGCGGTCAGGGAGTGCGTTCGGCGAGGTGGACGAGCAGGCTGGGAGGCGGAGCACCGCAAGGACCGACCTTTCAGTTGGAGCAACCCCTCTTTCCGCGTGTACTTGGACAACTTCGACCTCCTGGAAAAGACTGACAGTCAGTTGGCAGCCACAATTCAAGGAACGTGTCCGCCTTTCGTTGAAGCCTTGCGGGAAGCATATGGCAGGCATCAGGTCCCCAGGCATCCCAAGAAAGCGGTGGCAAGGGCCATCAATGCTGAGATCCAAGGTGCTGAGGTGGATGGTGAGGCAGGAATGGCCGCGCCAAAGGCCGAGAAAATAGGCAAATATGTCAGGCTCTGTCAGTTGTTGCTCTCTGCAGGTGTGTGCACTCAACGCCAGATGCAGGTCGTAGCCGGAGGTTTTGTCTATTTTTGTACTTTTAGGCGGCCATTGTTAGGTACACTCAACCAGGTTTGGCAGTTCATCCAGGGTTTTGAGAAGGGCCGGTACCACCAACGGATCCCGGACGGGGTCCGCCTTGAGCTGAGTCGTTTCTGCCTGTTGATACCCTTAGCGCGAATGAATTTTCGGCTTGCATTGTCGGCAACGGTGACGGCATCGGATGCTTCCACCACAGGCGGTGGCGTGACGGCGTCGTGTGGAGTCAGCCAGGTAGGAGCAATTGCCGCGAATCTGCATGTGCGTGGTGACATAGCAGAGCTTGAAGACGTTGACACCGTCCTGACTGTTGGGTTGTTTGATGGCATTGGCGGCTTGAGGGTTGCTGCAGACGCTGTGGGGCTGACTGTTGTAGGACACGTGTCCGTGGAGTGCCATCCACCTGCGCGTCGCGTCGTTGAAAGCCGGTTTCCAAATACGTTGTTCATCAACTCTGTGGAGGAGGTCAGCGATGAAGTAGTCAAGTCATGGGCATGCCAGTTTAGCCAAGTCAGTGTCGTTCTGGTGGGTGCAGGGCCACCCTGTCAGGGTGTTTCAGGCTTAAACGCCGATCGCCGTGGTGCCTTGCGTGACCATCGGAGCTCTCTTTTTCCCCATGTGGAACGAATAGTCAGCTTGCTGAGGGTACATTTTCCTTGGGCTCAGGTGCACAGACTCATGGAATCAGTTGCATCCATGGACGAGGCAGATCGGGTCGTTATGAGCCAATCCGCAGGGACCACACCAGTCCTTGTTGACGCGTCAGGACTCACAGGGTGCAGGCGGCCACGCCTCTATTGGCCTAGTTGGGAGCTTGAAGATGGGAATGGGGCCTCCATCACGTCAGCCGCTGGGCAAGGGTGGTCGCAGGTGACAGAGGTCGTGTTGGAGGTTGATTTCGACTCAAACAATTTCCTAGAACCTGGTTGGTCAAAGTGCAGTCCTCAACCTTTCCCTACATTCACTACAAGCAGGCCGCGCACCTGTCCGGGTCGACGGCCAGCGGGACTTCAACAGTGCAACGCAGAAGAGGTGAATCGCTGGCAGCAGGATTCTCATCGCTTTCCGCCGTACCAGTATCGACGAGTGTTCTGTGTGGAGAATCGGCGGGGAGAAGTACGCCTTCCTTCAGTTGAGGAGCGTGAAGTGCTTATGGGGTTCCCAAAGGGTTACACGGCGCACTGCCTGCCCAAAGGTCAGCGGCGTGGAACCGATTGGACAGACGAGCGCTTGTCTCTGATCGGCAACTCATGGTGTGTCTTTGTCATCGCATGGCTTTTACACTGTCTAGGGGTGCCGAGGGGCCTTTGCAACCGTCTTTCCATGGAGGAGCTGATGCGCCAGTGTCAGCCAGGGGGAGGCACACGTCTCCAGGGCTATTTGTTGCGTCCATTTATGCGTGTGCCCCGTACCTCAGTTGAACCTCAGCCGGATCTCCTGGCGCGAAAGCTGACAGGCCTGGTTAGTGGTAAGGGTGAAGACTTGCTCCTGCAGGCACCTTCAGAGGACGTCCAACGGTATCATCGCTGGAGAGCCAGCATTCCTTCCAATTTGTGGCGTTGGAAAACAGTGTGCGGTTGGCGATGGTCAGGAAGCTCTGAGCACATAAACGTCTTGGAAATGCGTGCAGTGTTGACCGCTTTGCAGTGGCGCTTCGCCCGAAAGGGATGGATTCGCACTAGGTTCTTACACCTTGTGGATAGTCAGGTGTGCCTTCACGCTTTAGCACGTGGTCGTTCCAGCAGTCGCAAGCTTCGGCGGACGCTTCTTCGCATCAATTCTCTCTTGTTGGCATCCGGTGCGCATGGCGTGTGGACATATGTTCACACGGAGTTGAACCCAGCCGACCGCCCGAGTCGGCGACCTGTAAGGAAGAAATGGGTAAAGTAGCCAAAGCACATGTGGAAGGATGCTCACAAGTAGAGAGAAAGAAGCGAAGAGCTGAGTTAGGTACACTACATTCCCTCACTGTACAGCCAAAGACCCGAGCCCGTTATGAAAAAGCCCTAGAACAGTTTTGGGCCTTCTTGCGGCGTGAGAACCTGGCCTTTCCTCGCGGACCTTTCGAACTGGATAAAGTGCTGTGCATCTATGTGGAGCACCTGTGGAGTGAAGGCTTTGGCCGTGCCTTGGCCGCTGACACCGTAGCTGGAATACAGGATGCACAGCCAAATGTCAGAAAGCAGTTACCTGCTACCTGGCGCCTTTTAAAGGCTTGGAACGTCAATGAGATTCCTAGCCGGGCACCACCTCTCCCCGAGGAGGCCTTACAGGCTATGATCGGGTATGCCATTTTCCACCATCGGTACCAATTTGCAATTTCACTCCTCGTGGGCTTCTATGGAGTTCTGCGAACGGGAGAATTGCTAGGTGTAACGTCTAGTGATGTGTCAGTGTCCTCAGAGCGTGGACCCGCGGTGGTCGCGTTGGGATATACTAAAGGTGGCCAGCGGCAAGGAGCTGCAGAGAGTGTCAGTCTGACTTTTGAGCAGGTCATCCGGTGGCTGCACCGATGGACTTTGGGTGTTCCGTTAAAGACACCACTGTGTGCACAACCCTCGCAATGGCGAAAAATGTTTAATGATACCTTGGTGGCTCTTGAGTTTGATACTTTTGATTTCAGACCCTACTCACTCCGAAGGGGTGGGGCCACGTATTGGTTCCGAAAGTGGGGGTCACTAGACAGATTGCTCCTTTACGGACGATGGCAAAATGCCCGCACCGCCCGCACCTATGTCAATGATGGCCTGGCCGTACTGGCCAGCACGCACCTTCCATGGACCCCAGTGAATCGCCGTTTCCGTCAAATTTTTCTGAATTCGTGCCGTTCCCCTGTGCCAGTGCTTGAACCAGCTCTGAAGAGCAGGCCAGGGGGACGTGGAGGAAGGAGCTCCAAAGACAAGAAGAAAGCCAGGAAAGGCAGAAAAGATGCGTGAGAAGTTTCATCTGAAATGAGTCTGAAGGGAACGTAGGAGAAGTGTCTCCGTTTTTCCATTTCACATTGTGAGGCCCCTTTCTTTTCTCCGGCTTGGCGGAGGGAAAGGGGGGCAATGTGTGTGTCTTCGGGCTGGTTTTCCGTACGGCTTGGCGACGGTTTACCAGGGAGACAAAGAGAGACTTGACGTTGTGTTTTATTCTTTTAATTTGTGACAAACTGGACCTTGCAAAGCTAAAAAAGTTGAGCGTTCGGACCGGAGTCTTTGTAAATACGCCCCCGTGTTTAAAGACGTAGGGGAGTCAAGGGAAAGTTTTCCTCCGCAGCACTGGCTCAGCGTCCACTCCCTCCCTCCCGCTGAGGGTGTTGGGAGTTGGCGGAGGAAGGAGCTCCAAAGACAAGAAGAAAGCCAGGAAAGGCAGAAAAGATGCGTGAGAAGTTTCATCTGAAATGAGTCTGAAGGGAACGTAGGAGAAGTGTCTCCGTTTTTCCATTTCACATTGTGAGGCCCCTTTCTTTTCTCCGGCTTGGCGGAGGGAAAGGGGGCAATGTGTGTGTCTTCGGGCTGGTTTTCCGTACGGCTTGGCGACGGTTTACCAGGGAGACAAAGAGAGACTTGACGTTGTGTTTTATTCTTTTAATTTGTGACAAACTGGACCTTGCAAAGCTAAAAAAGTTGAGCGTTCGGACCGGAGTCTTTATATATATATATATATTAGTCCAATTTCTTGAGAGGATCGCTTCATGTTCTCCGCTCTTTCGCTTTGCCCGTGTATTGCAACTTTTATGGTTTGTGCCCAGACGTATCAAATTCAGCTGACCTCGGCCAGAGATGCAGCGCTTCGAGTTGTATCTCGGCATTTCAGTAAGAGCACATCATAATTTTGCAGAGCTATGCAGACCGAAGATGTGAGCCGTCTTAAGAATTGGCAACAAGCTAGGGAAGCAATAGCCCCCCCAAAAGTGATGAACTACCGAAACATGAAGGATAAATTGTTTGACGTGTGTTTGCTTGTTCCATGTTTAGGTTCTTGATCTGAAAGGGAGTTCCGCATGTTCTCAGCACATGGATGCTTTTACACGTAAGAGGTCAAGCCTTTGAAACAGTCATCTCCTGTGGGGCCAAAGCTCGCGCGTTTGAACCGACATCCCCAGCGATGCCTGAGCAAACGATGCCCTTGATGATGCCAATCCACCACTTCCCCACTTGAACACGGGGTGGTTTGCAACCAACCAAGATGTTGCAGCAACAGCTTGGTGAATGCTCTTAGCTGCTTGCGCAGCTCTTGTTTGTCTCCTTTGAGTTCTCGTGGTCATACATACACTTGTTTGGTTGAAACCTGCCTTTACTAAATACAGGAAAGTCATGCCTCCCTTTTCAAGCTGAAGTCTGAAGTTGTCCAAAGCTGAGGGAAGACATGGGCGTCCCCAAATCTATGTGAAGGCATGATATTGAACAAGGAGTTTTATTTGAGAGCCGCGCATTAATAAGTTTCCCTAAGAATCTAGGAACCAAGTGAATAGTGCGAGCTTGAGCTATCCTGCGTCCTGTCGGCAGCAGCTACTTAAACTACTAGCTACCTCTTCTGCTAGCTACTAGCTACCTCCAGCTACTACCTCCCTCTTCTCCCTACCCTGTTGTGTTTGTTCTCCGCCTCAGTGGCTCGATATGTCCACTAGCCTTGCTAAGATGTCACGTTCATTTTCTTTGGCCTCAAAAGATGGTGCTGCTCTTGCCTCGCTTGCTGCTGCTCCTGCCGGGGTTGAGGGTGAGGGTGAGGGGCAGTCCACAGCCAGGACAAGAGTTGCAAAGCCGCTGCCACGAATGGACAGCACTTTGAAGTCATACAACCCCTCTGTGACCCGTGACGCACCAACAGGACAAAAGCTGTAAAGAGACGTGTGGGGCGATGACCTATGCAAAGTGAGTCGCAGTGGAGTTCCAGGGATTGTCAACTTAGGGCAGGGTGGCAATTCCTCGACTTGCAGCGTTTTCCTGCACGGGTACACGAGAAGAACACACACACAACATATATATACACATACACAAACACACACACACATATGTAATCATATGTATATATTATATACATTACTATATATATACATATACACACACACTTTCGTTGTAAGAATGCTACTGTGCTAGACCAAAAGAAGAACCGGTGATTACGAAACACTTGTTGAGTACACACTCTGACACTGGTTTTCAGTTAACTCAATTACTCCGATGGGAAGGAAGGCGAGGGAACGGCAAGGTGGCAAGGTCCGTTGAAAAGTATTGTTCAACATTGTTCACAAGTGCACTCACACGTTCAAATGCGGCTGCAAAACGATCAAACGCGGCTGCACGTCTGCGGTAGGAAAAGGTTTGGGGGTGGAAACGTGAAGAACCATGAATCAAAAACGTGGAGAGTGGAGTCACAGCTTGATAGAATGGCAGGTACACAGGGATGATCAGTCCCTGCTTCCCCTTCTTGTCCACAGCTTCATTGCGTGTGGTAGGACAAGAAGGCCACACGCCCCTGCCTGTGAGAAGTGGTGTTGGAAAACCCTTTGTCCAGGGGTGGACACACACACAGGTCGCCGCATCCGGCGCTTTTTTCAAAAACCGGTGGCAGGCGTGGTGGTTGTGTCCTTTTTGGACATAGAGCCTCACGAGCTCAGCCGCAGCAGCTTCAGGGCTGGAGGGTGGAAATGTGTATTTGCGAATGGTGTGAAGTCGTGATTGGAGGCCTGATAGAGCCAAGCGCTGGCTCCCGGCGGTTGTGGAATCCCTGATTTTCCAGGGTTGGGAAGGTTGCATGTAGGTGATGGTGCGTTGTGGGAGGTCGATGTTGAAGCCGAGGAGATGAAAATCCTCCACCGGTTCGAGTTCCACTGGGTCGCCAAAGAAATTGTGGTGGATGAGGGTTTGGACGGCCGGGTGTTGGAGGAAATGTTCGTTGTGGACAATGAAGCGGTTGTCGACATATCAGCAACTGCCACCGAGGTGGGTGCGGTTGATAGTAAGTAAAGTGGAGGTCTGTGTGTTGAAGGAGGTTGTTGTGGATCTGATGCCGGGAATGCTCAATGAGGGTGATGGCAACATTGCATAGGGCTGGAGAGAGCTGGGATCCAATCCCGGCCCCTCGGATTTGTTTGTAAGCATGGTTGCAAGCCCGGAAAATGCATGTGTTGAGGGCAAAAGCCACGATGGTGGTAATGTCGGAAGTCTGGATGGTGCGTTGGGTAGGGTGTTTGCGATGGTGTCTGCCAATGTGTGAGTGGTGGAAAGGATTGCCGGTGGCCTGGACATCCACCGTCAGGGTGTGTGTTGCTGTTGTTGCCAGTGGTGGACGAGGGAGTGAACCGCATCGATGAGTCGGTGCTGTGGGACTGAGTTGAAGAAGCCGACCAGGTCATCGTTGGTGGCGTGTAGTGAGATGTCTGGTGGGGTTTGGGTGAGGTAGCTGTGAAAGTGGTGCCAAAGCTGGGGAATGGACATTTGGCCGGGATGCTGAGGGTAGAGGTGTTGGAGGATGATGTCAAGGGCACGGCTGGTAATGCGAAGCAGGTTGCCACTGAGTGATTGGAAGTATGAGATAATTGTACGGCCTTTTTGCCAGTGCTTCTTCTCCTTGAGGTGGACAACGCCGTAGGGAATGTTGAAGTCTTTTCGGAAACCCCACTTGTAGCGAGTGCGCAAAATGGGGGGGACAGTGGCGGCCAGGTGATCGTGGATATTGGCGGCAGTGATGTAGGGAAGTGGTTCGAAAAGTTCGGGGGATTGCCATGTATTCAAGGCGCCAGTGAAATATTGGCGAGGGCAAAACAGCCGGAGTTGTTGGAGCTCATGGTCGGCATGGTGAAGTAATGTGTGTTGGCCGAGGTGTTCTTGGAGTTGGCGAAGCAGGCGAGCCGTAAAACGGGGTTGCTGCTTGAGGTGTGTGTTGTGGAGGCGCCATTGGTGCTCAAGGAATGGCTGCAAATGCTGAACGAGGGATGGCGGAAGCCCTTGTAGTTTGAGCCATTTTGCGTAGGCCGTCTTGAACATGAGGAAGTATCGGGCCTTGCTTGGGTAGTAGGTGCTGTTCATATTGGCGTTGAGAAAAATGCCGAGATGTGTAGGGAGTTGGAGTTGGTCAAGTGTAAGAATGTAGTGGCCGTTGATGGTGGGGGTATCGGGATCCTGCAAGAGGGTGCGAAGGTGATCGCATGCGCAGGGGAGGTCTGCTGGATCTGGCGGGGAGTGGAGGGTGTCCTCCCATGTGCGGTGGTTATGCAGGTGGGAACGGAGGGTTTTGTGTGCGGCTTCTCTCAGTCTGTGGGAGGGGAGGTGGAGGGGGATGGTGAAATGCTTGTGCTGCTGGATGGTAGTACGAAGCCACTGCTGGCAGTGCTTAGTGAAATCGTCGTGGGCCAAGAAGGGCACTGTCAATGGAATATTTGGTTTTGGCGGTGTGAGGTTGCGGTAGATCAGGGCTTTGTTGAGGATGTGGAGAGCTCTGCTACGGCCGGGTTCTTCCAGGTTTGCGGCCATGCGCCGGATTGCATAGACTTCAAGGTCCGTGTGGCGGCCGCTTCGTAGCTCTTTGGCAGCTTCAAAGGAGGCTGCTGTGTGTTTGGTGAGGTTGCGGAGAAGTTGGAGGGCGTGATGCTTGGTGGAGGTGTAAAGGTGTGGTTCTCTGAGCGTGTATTGGCGTTGCCTAAGGCGTCGGAAGAGTCGTTTGTGGGTGGCTAATCTGGAGTAGAAATGGGCTCTGTGTTTCGTGAACTGCCAGCCTTGAGCTTTGAGCTTGAGATGGTGGGAAATAAACGGCCAGTTGAGCGTAGGCATCCAGTTTGCGATGTAATGGTGCTCTTGGATCCAGGCTTGGTCGTATGTGTCATGGGAGGTAAGTTGAATGGTAGTGTAGTGATGGATGTTGTTGCGTGAGTGCCAATAACGTAAGGAGAGTTCGGCAGAAATGGGGATATTGTTCTGGAGTTGTTTGAGTTTGGCACGGCGATTGTGTTCGCGGTGGGGAATGCCGATGGCTGTGGAGCCCACATAGAAGCGACCATGTTGATGGTAGCAGCGTTGGGGCTGGTCAGGATTGAAGTGGAGCTTGATGTAAACGGAATTTGAGGAAAGGAAGTTGTGGTAGTGGTATGTGGGGCAAGATGTGAAGCTGGCGGAGACGGTTGCGCCATTGTTGTGAGCGACGGGTGTTGGAAGGGTATGCGAAAAGGAGTGTGATATGGATAAGGCCAGTGGCGAAGATGGCCTCGGCACGATCGATGTATTGGGTACGGTGAATGAGCACGGAGAGTGCTCGGTGCAGGTGGAAAAGTTGGGTGAGGTTGGTGTGGCTGGGTTGCTGCTGGGCAAGGATGGCGAGTCAGCAGCCGATGGCTGCTCCAACACCCACGAGCTGTTGTAAGCTACGAATGGGGAGCCGGTTGACCCGGTTGAGAGGTAGGCCGTACCTTGTGGCTGCTTCTTTTAGCTGCTGCGTGGTGACTTTGCTCGTTTGCAGCAGACGAACGACGTCCTTGGCGGCTTCTTGGATGGTGGGGTCGAAGGTAGTGACCCATTGTTGGATCTCTGGGTGGTTCCAGCCCTCGGGGATATCGTCTTGCAGTGTTGGGTGTGGAGGTTGCAAGACGTCAGTGAGGGCTGGCGGTTTTGGTGGTGGTGGAGTGGGTGCATGGGATGGGGCGGCCGGTGCGGAAGATCGGCTGGTGCTCTTGACTGGGGTGAGTGGGTTGCCCAGGTCGTGGAGCTTTTGACGTGCGCGGGCCAGTTCGTCGTTGGTGTTTTTGAGGGCGCGTAGAGCGGTGCCTTCCGCAGGTGCTGGAGAATGAGTTTGTAGTTGGTCGATAAG